TCCGGGACGTGAGGAAACCAGGCCCAGCAAAGCCCCTTGTTCCCTGGCTGGAGTCCCCATCCCCGCTGAGAGGCAGGCCCAGCCAAGGTGCAGGGTCCTCACAGGGTCTTGTTGCTCATAAACGCCGCCTTGTAGTGGCTGAACCCCAGGCTTTCTTGTTGTCTTTGGGGCTGGGTCACAAGCCTGGAAGCAGGTTTTGTCCTCTCTCTTGTCACTCCCTTGGTGCCTAACCCTTCATGTCTTTTGTTCCAAGTTACTGTTTTTCCAACCATTTTTGTTTTGTTTCTATCTAGTCTGGAAGCAGCGGGACTAAGTGTGCCACAGAGGGAGGGACATTGGCTTGGGTTTTCTTGGCCTCCAGGTGCCTCCTAGCATGCCTTTTGGGGTCTGTTTTTTGCATTCGGATAAGAGGTCTTATAATATAAGAGGTGTAATATAGGCTCTAATTCTAACTTCCTGTGGTACTGAGAAGGAAAGGCAGAGCTTCCATTTCCTCATTGTAAGCAGGGTAGGTAGAGTCAGCTGCCTAGGTGGGGGTGAAGAGAACAGATTCCAGGGCTGGCCAGCCAGCCTGGATTCAAGTCTTGCCGGTTACTTCCTCCCTGTGTGACCTTGGGCAAGTTGCTGCACCTCTCTGGGTCTCAGTTTCCTCTTTATAACTGGAGATCAGAAAACCCCATGAAAGTTAATTGTGAAAATTAAATGAGTTAATACATATAAAGCACGGGCACACAACGAGCACTCAAATGTTACCTGTTTTTATGCCCTCCTTTTTTTTTTTTGCGGTACGCGGGCCTCTCACTGTCGTGGCCTCTCCCGTTGCGAAGCACAGGCTCCGGACGCGCAGGCTCAGCGCCCATGGCTCACGGGCCCAGCCGCTCCGTGGCACGCGGGATCCTCCCGGACCGGGGCACGAACCCGCGTCCCCTGCATCGGCAGGCGGACTCCCAACCACTGCGCCACCAGGGAAGCCCTGCCCTCCTTTTTAAGCTCATGAGCAGCAGGTGAAGTTAATTATATACTCAGTTTAGGGTGCGTGATCATTTTCGGCTCATTACAGCCCTTTCTTGCTTTGTTTGTTATTTCTTTTTATCCTTATTTCCCCCTTCTGCTTCTCCCCTATCTCTAAGCCATTCACTTTGTGTATTTAACGTGCTTTTTTTTGGGGTTTATATAGATTCTTACAAAACGTGTGCTGTTGTTTCGTGCACATGTTTCAAAAGTTGACATCAATGCCTTAGTATCTGGATCTCATTCTGTTTCTCACTTTTGTCCCTCAGCTCTGAGTGTTTGAAAACAGTCACGTTACTTCTAGCCGGTGGGTGCAGCTGCCACATTTTACCCATCCACCTCTCACTGATGGACAACCAGGTTGCCTTAACTCCCCCTGACCCCAGATAAAGCTGCAGCCAGCCTCCTTGTGCATGCTCCCACGTGGATCTCCGGAAGACCTTTGTTATGATGTGTACCCAGGGGTGGAATTTAGTATAGAATGAAATGGAGAGCATTTGAAGGAAGCAAAAGGAGTGGATGTTTCCATGCCCTGAACTGAGTAAATCAGAACAGCAGTTGGCCAGTTAAGAAGTTGACTGTCTATTGGGCTTGCTCTATATCCCAGCTAAGGACTTTTGTTTTTAAAATTTTTAACGGAAATCGTATGAATATGTGTTCTTTGAAAACAATTTAGATGACACAGAAATAAGTAGAAGAAAGACTAAAAATGTAAAGGGCCCCTTCACATTGCTCCCCAGCCTCCTAAGCCCCATTTCTAGGAGTTAAGCACGGTGACAGTGGAATAGCTTATGTTAGGTCTTCCATATTTACAGGCACAAATGTGAACCTTACATAATGTTTTACAGTTTAACTTTTCTCGCTTAATAGGATGTCGTAAGGCCATTCCGTGTTGGCCCCAGCAGATCTGCTTCAGTTTTTATCAGTGCTCCGTATTTCATTTTAAGGCTCTGCCATAGTTTATGTAACTAGTCCCCTTCTGATGGGCATTTGGGGTATAGCCAGTTTTCTGGCTATATAATGACAGAACCAGCGCTTCTTTTGGCGTTAGTCTGCTGGTGATGAATTCCTTTAGCTTTTGTACATCTTTATTTTTGAAAGCTACTTTTGCTAGGTATTGAATTCCAGTTGACAGACTTTTCTTTTCTTTTCTTTTCTTTTTTCAGTACCTTAAAGATGTTGTTCTACTGCCTTCTGTTTTAATCGTTTCTGCCGAGAGGTTGGCTGTAATTCTTATCTTCGTTCCTCTGTATGTTATATCTTTAAAATTTTCTGACTACTTTTTAGAAGTTCTCTTTATCTTTGGTTTTAGGCACTTTGATTGTGATAGACCTGAGCGCAGTTTCCTTTGTTTCTTCTTCTGAATTTCTGAGTTCTGTAGGTTTATAGTAGTCTGTATCAAATTGGAAACTTTGGGCCATTATTTCTAAAGATATTTTTTCTCTCCTCACTCCTGCCCCTCACTTTTTTAGGGACTTCAATTGCATATGTATTAGGCCTTTCGAAGTCCCACAGCATGTGGATGCCCTGTTTATTTCTGTCTATCTTTTTTCTCTCTGTGTTTTATTAGTATTAGTTTCTATGGTTGTGTCTTCAAGTTTGTCAGGCTTTTTCTTCTTTAGTATCTAATCTGTTCTTCATGCCAGGCGCTGTATTCTTCGTCTCTAGAAGTTTGATTTGCTTCTTTTAAAATATTGCCCTTGTCTCTCTAACATGCTCATGTTTTTCCCTACCTTCTTGAATTTATGGAGTACGTTTATGATAGCCGCCTTAATGTCCTTAAAGTCTGTATCTCTGTTATTTCTGGGTCTCTTCCTATTAATTGATTTTTCTGCTTCTTTCATGCCTAGTAATTTTTGATTGACAGATATTGTGACTTTTACATTGTTAAGTGCTGGATGTGTTAGCATTCCTTTAAATATTTTGTACTTTATTCTGTTATTGTTTCTGTATTAGTTTACTATTGCTGCTGTAACAAATTATCACAATTTTAGTGGCTGAAAGCCACAGAGACTTACTATCTTATAGTTCTAGGGATCAGAAGTCCAAGATGGCTTTCACTGGGCTAAAATCAAGGCGTTGGCAGGGCTGTGTTCCTTCTGGAAGCTCTAAGAGTGAAACTGTTTCCTTTTCCATCTTCTAGAGGCTACCTGCGTTTCTTGGCCTGTGGCTCCATTTCTCCATCTTCAAAGCCGGAAATGTTGGACAGAGTCCTTCTTATGCTGCCATCTCTTCTGCTTCCCTTTTCTGTTTAGAAGGACTCTTCATTGGGCCCACACAGATAATCCATCCAGGATTATCCATCTAGATATCCATCCAGGATAATCTCTCCATCTCATGTTCATCTGATTAGCAAGCTTAATTTCCTTTGCATGTATCCTCAGAAATTCACAGGTTCTGGGGGTTAGGATGTGGACATCTTTGGGAGGCCACTATTCTGCCTACCACAGCAGTTAAATTGTTGTGTGGGACCAGAGCTGTCTCTAGAGCAGAGTTTGGCAGACTGTATAGTCCATGGGGCAAATCTGGCCTGTTTTTGTAAATAAAATTTCATTGGAACACAACTGTGCTCATTGGTTTATGTATTGTCTGTGGTTGCTTTCATTCTGCGATGGCCCACAAAGCCTGAAATATTGACTTTCTGGACCTTCATAGAAAAGGTGTTCTGATTCCTGGTCTAGTGCTAATTTTTCCCCACTATTGAGGCCATACCTTTCTGAGTACCCTCCCTGATGCCTTTGTATACTAGGAGATTTGCCCACTTTGGCTGGTGGGAATATGAACTATTCTTAGCCCTGTGTGAGCTCTGAGAATTGTTCTGCTAGGTTCTCTCTGGTTCTTGTTCCAGGCTTATGCAGTTTCCTTATATGCATGTGCTGATCAGCACTAAAACAGCTGGAGAATCGGAGCTCATTGGGCACCTCTATCTGCTCTGACTCTCTACCCTCTCTAGCTTCCTTGGCCCTCCCCCATTTTAAACTGTCTGCTCAACTTGGTGGCGGGGTGCGGGGGGGACTCTTGAACTCTGCTTGCGCTCTTCCTCCCTGCACTGCAGCTTAGAAATTCTCCAAGCAGTTAGCTGGGACAATTGTAGGACCAGCATGTTTGCTTTTCCTCTCTTACGGGTTGCTGCTCTGTAAGCCTGTTGCCCAGTGTCTAGAAATAATTGTTTCAAATGTTTTGTCCGGTTTCTTAGTTGTTTAAGGTGGGTAGTGAATCTGGTCCCTCTTACTCCTCGTGACTAGAAGCCACCAGCGCTTCTCATGTCAATATTATTTTATATTTATGAGGGTACTCCTGGAAGAGGCATCGGGGGCTCAGAGACTGTGCATTTTAACAATATTACCAAATTAGCCCTTGTAAAGGCTGTGCCACTTTATACTTTGAGAGTCTCATTCTAATAGCAGAGGTTGTGGGGACAGATGATGATATGAAACTGCTTTGAGCTCTGTAAAGTGCTGGGAACATGCCAGGGTTTACAGTTCTTAAGAAGGGGCTTCTCGATGTGGTGCATATATACAATGGAATATTACTCAGCCATAAAAAGAAACAAAATTGAGTTATTTGTAGCGAGGTAGATGGACCTAGAGTCTGTCATACAGAGTGAAGTAAGTCAGAAAGAGAAAAACAAATACCGTATGATAACACATATATGTGGAATCTAAAAAAAAAAAAAAAAATCTGAAGAACCTAGGGGCAGGACAAGAATAAAGACGCAGACGTAGAGAATGGACTTGAGGACACGGGGAGGGGGAAGGGTAAGCTGGGACGCAGTGAGAGAGTAGCATTGACATACATACACTACCAAATGTAAAGTAGATAGCTAGTGGGAAGCAGCTGCATCACACAGGGAGATCAGCTCGGTGCTTTGTGACCACCTAGAGGGGTGGGATACGGAAGGTGGGAGGGAGACGCAAGAGGGAGGGGATATGGGGATATATGTATACGTATAGCTGATTCACTTGGTTATACAGCAGAAACTAACACACCATTGTAAAGCAATTATACTCCAATAAAGATGTTTTAAAAAATAAATAAATAAAATAATACTTTCACTGCAATAATTAAAGTGGCGTCCAAGGAGTATATAAATGTAGAAAGGATAGAAAAATGAAAGAAAAAATAGGTAGTTGCATATCTCAGTGGATTTTTTTCTGCCCCTCTTTTCCATGTAATAAGCACTACTTCTATCTGGAACTAATGGTGATAGTAATAACCAGAATGTATGGAGCATTTATTATATGTCACATACTGTTGTATGTGCTTTGTGTGTATTAACTCATTTGAACTTCACAATGACCTCATGATTATATCAGGACCGTTGATATTGAGAGCCCCCAAAACATTAAAACAACTTGTTTTTCATCTCAAAAAAATAAATAAATTAAAAAAATAAATAAAGGGCTTCTCTTAGCTGTTTCTCTTTCGACTTGAGTCCCTGGTGGCCATTTTGCTCTGCCATGCTGTCCTTCAGCTGGGCATTGTAGGACTAATATAATTTCCTTAACAAATGGGGATGCCTTGGGGGATCTTCTTTTAGGCTGCTACTTTCTTTCCTGACATCTGTTGAGCACCTGCAAATGCTAAATAATGTCCCAATTGCTTCATGTAGTCATTGTGATATAATTTAAATCTCCATCACAACCTTGGGAGCTTGGGATGAAATGGAAACTGAGAGAGGTGTCATGGCTTGTCCAAGGTCACACAGCTAATTTCCAGGAAAGCGAGGATTCTTTCTGCCTTTAAACCTAATCTGCTGGCTCATACAACAGACTATCCATTTTAGTCAAGACCCTTTAGGCTGCAAGTGATAGAAATTCATCTAAAACTTGCTTATGCGAAAAGCGACATTTGTTGACGTACCTACGGAGGTACGTCAGGGCTGGACTCAGGTAGCTTAGGTGGGGTTATCAGAAATGTGTTGCTTTCCATTCAGCTCTTGTTTCCTATCGTTGACTTATTCTTTATGCAGGCCTTCCCCAAGTGGTGGCAGAAATGGCTGTAGTGTCTCCAGGCTTATTTCTCACCCCAGTGGAGTAGTCCCGGTGGAAAGAGAGAACCTGTTTCCCAAGGGTTTCAACCAAAGTCCCAAGAAAGGCTCCTATTGGCCCAGCTTGGGTCACAGGCTTATCCGTGAGCCAATCACAGTGCAGGAGGGTGTGCTGTTCTGATTGGATGGACGTGGGTCATTTGGTCCTCTTGGAGTTGGGGACTGGGATTGTGGGTTGCTGAAAGGACAAGATGGTTCTTTATTGGAAGAAAGAATGCCAAATAGGCAGAAACAAAAGTGTGAACCGCATCCCTCTGGCCCTTGAAGCTCCGTCATCCATGGTGCTCCCTTGGTCTACTTGCCACCTGCTGAGCAACATCTCTTGTCTGGCCTTGGTTTGACAATAGCGTTCCCCCCTCCCAGGTTCTAACTGTCAGTTGTTCTCTCTCACCACCTGGGACAAGTGAGGCTTCCTGGCTATCACTCTCTCTTGGCGGAGTCAGCTCTTGCCCAGACATTGAACAGATGCGGGGAGATGTCAGGCCTCGACTTTTCAGTGCTGGAGCCCCTGTTCTTCAGCCCCAGGGTGGGGGTGAGGTGCTCCTGGGGAAGGTAAAGCTGGGAGAGCAGAGGAATTGTGTGTGTGTGTGGGGGGGAGGTTGCATGTCGAGAGAGCCTTACCCCGTAATTGGCACCAGGAAACAAGGGCCCAACAGGCTGGGGACTCCCCCAAACTCTCTCTTTCATCATTAGTAAATGAGCACTTTTCCAAGGATGGTCTGAGACCTCCTTTGCCAAAGCAGCTGGCGAATTCAGCTTCCCCCTGCTGTTTCTGAATCTCGGGGGGCAGGGGCGGTGAAGAATCAGAGATTTTAACCAACTCCCCACCCAGGCAGTGCCGTCACACACTGCGGGTTGAGGTCCTCTGGTAGATGACTGTCTTTGAATTGGCCGAGTTTCCCCTGCCTTAGGTTTTTCTTGGATTCTCCTTCCTCCTGATGGAACTATTCACCTCGTTTATCCAATTTGAGGGATTGCCCTTGTTCAGATCTGAACTGCTCCTTTCAGAGTAAGGAGGTATCACTGTTGGGGCTTGGGAGTGAGTCTGAAGTGAGGAATCCATTTTAGAAGAGATCAGCATTATTGTTTTCCATCTAGTACTTTCTGAGTCTCAAGACATCCATTGGAAATGACATGAAAAGAGCGGATAGCGCACAGTGAGTCTACATTCTTAGTAAGAAACGCTGACGCCTAAAGCCAGTGGCACATCAGGATTGGTCACAAGAACTGGGAGTCACAGACGTGCTGGAGCCTTTGGCTTGGGAAAGCTCAGTGATTAATACGACACCACATTTCATTGGTTCATAAGTTAAGACCCTAACACTTGGTTGAGTAAAATATTACATTTACTTACTTCAAGCTTTCAAAAATCTCTTTAGCCAAAGAACCCTTTCACAAAGGAAGTCTTACAGAGGAGCTCAATCTATTAAATAGGTAAAAGCAATTTTTTTTAATTGGGGAGGGAGGGCCATGTTATGACTTTCGTGGGCCCCAGATACTCTTGCCTTTGTGGGCTCCTTCCTTCATAAAAATATTAAAAATTACATTTTATGACTGCATTGCTATAAAGATGAGTGTATTAATATTATCTGGTAAATATTTTCTCTGACCTAAAAATTCAGTTTCTTTATTTTGATTTTAAAGAAATTAAAGCACTTTTGTGGGCCCAAGCACTGTGACTCCTTTGCCTGGTGGGGAAGTCGGCCCTGACGAGACAGGTCCTGGCCTGACCACCTCCTGGTTGGCCCCTGAAGCAGGCTGGAGGAGAGGAACCCAGTTGGAGGACCATGGCACAGACTCATCACTTGTACCGGTAGACACCGGTCTACCTCACTGTGGAAGAACCATAACATATCACAATAAGGATGGAATGTCAAAGTCATTCTCCTCCTTCCCCCCCCAAAAACCCAGGTCTTGTCCTTCAGTCTCTAAAGCATCATTCCTACGAAGAGATCATCTCCCCAGCCTCTGCTTGAACCCCTGTAGGGACAGGGAGCTCATTACTGTGTTTGGGTTCTTTCTGGTCCAATTCCATAAGACTTCACGGTACCCAGCAAGCCCCTGGGTTGATCACCATTTATCCCCTAAGCCAGTGGATCCTGTAGTGCCCACGCCATTGCTGAGGTGGGGTAGGAGTCTGGGGTTTGAGGTGCAGCTTTTGCCCCTCCACTGCTGTGTGAGCCGAGCAAGGACACTCTCCCTCATTGAGCCTGAGATGCCTCATTTGGACGTGATGGTCCTTGCACGTATCGCTATCGTGTGATGCTAGAGGGAGACTAAGGCTCGTCCTGGGCAGGGATTGCTTGCAGCCCAGGTTCTTCTGGGATGTAGAGAGCTTGTTGGCTCTTGCTTGGAGTTCAAGGGCCAGAGACTCTGTATGTCCCTGTCCCCCTGGTTCCAGGAGGGGCACTGTTAAACCACAGGAGAAAATCTGCGGAGGAAGGGAAGGGTCGGGTGGTTCAGGATGACCACTCCACTCCTGGTCCCCTAGTCGGCTGCTGATTGAGGTTTTTCTCCTGAGGTTTCAGAACATTTGGCCACCCCACAGTGCCTCATGGTGCTGTGTGCTTGCCCGCTCTGGTTGGGGGAGAGGAGAATGAGGACGGTGACGTGCTTTCCTCCCTGGGGCTTCCTGGCCCCAAAGCCTGGGCTTGCTCAGAAATGAGCAGCAGTTCAGCACAGTGGGAAGGTTCCTTTTCTACCCCTCCTCATCCAGCCTCTCCTAGTCGGTGGTGCTTGGAAGAGGGATGCACCCCTTTCCCCGCCCCTGGTACTTATGGCCCAGCCTATCCTTATGACCCTCCATGCTGCCCCTTGTCCCTGCCACATTAGACGGCTCTCCTGGACACACCCATGGTTTCTCACCTCCGCGCCAGGGGCATGCTGTCGCTGCTGCCAGGGCAGTTGGTGCGATGGCTTCCCAGACCACAGAGAGAGAGTTGGTGCGAGGTGAGTCCCCGTCCTGGCCTCTAAGTGGGGGAGCATGCTGCCCGGCCGGCTTCTAATCCACGCCTGGTATTTGCTCACCTGGCTCCTGCTCTGCACTTTGTAATTATTGATTCCTGCCGCGTCCACTTACCGTGAGCCAGCTGGGAGGACTTGCCGTCGAGCTTGGAAGTTCCTGGAAACAGTGACTTATTACTCGCCTAATGAGCGTGTGTCTGCCAGCCAGGTGTGTCCAGGAGAAAGCATGAGTGCGTGAGGTGCTGGACAGGACATCTTCGTGGACACTGGATGAATTTTCCTTTCTCTCGAGTCTGGACCTTCAGGGCTGTTTCCTCTCTCGCCATTACGTTTTTACTTAAATAACTCATCCGATTATGCGTCAAGGGAAAAGTCAGTTTCATAGGGCTGTTCATCTGAAATCACTTTTCTCCATCCGTCCGTCCGTCCCTCCCTCGCTCCCTCCCTCCCTCCTATCCCAGCCACCAGGGAGCTCACGGTCCAGTGGGAGAGATAGGAAGCCCGATGCTGAGTGAATTCCAAATTAGTGCAGAACTTCCTGCTTTCTAAGCAGCATCTTCTCCCAGAATCTTTCTGTTTTGTTTAAAACAAAGTTTGTTTTACTTCATTATAAAAAGTAGCAAATGTTCTTAGTTGAAAAAATTGGAAAACACAGAAAAGTCTGAGGAAGAAAGAAAATCACCTCTAGGTCCCTACCGGATGCTTACACCTTTGACGTTTTGACCTTCTGTTTCTTTGTTTTCTTTTTTAACCAATGGGTGCAATAGATACAATTTCTCTCCTGCTTAGAAGGAAAAAGCTCAGCTTATAAGATTAGCCTTTCCCAGCTTTATTGTAAATCCTGCGGTTTTGGCTGTAGGGTGTTCCATGAAGTGGCCGTATCCTAGTTTACCCAGCAGTGCCCTGTTTGGGGGATATTTTGCTATTTCCGGTCTTCCCCTATTGTAAATAATGCTGTGAAGAATATCTTATAAGTGAATTGGTTTTCGTGTTTTGGATTGTTTCCCAGACTTTGTCATCTAGAAGGAGTCTTAGTGATTGCCCAGACCACTTCTCCATCTTTAGTGTGTGTGAGCATCACCAGGGGGGCTTGTTCAAATGCAGCTCCCTGGGCCTCACCCCCAGAGGTTCTGATTCAGTGGGTGAGGGTGGTGCCCGAGAGTCTTGCGTCCTAACAAGCTTCCAGGTGGTGCTGATGGTGCTTGGATGTGGACCACACTCCAAGTAGCATCAACCAGCCTCCCCTGGGTGGTGAGGGAAGTTGAGGCCTACGAGTTGGGAAGAGTGGGTGATGGGTGACCATTGCCTGGGCCCGGCCAGTTGGTGGTTTCCACGCTGGGTCACGGATCCCCATGCTTTGCTGCCCCTGCTGCCTGGGGAACCTGCAGGAGAACGCAGCATTCATCCACATGAGGGGATCTCCTCCATCGAAGTGTTTCAGCCACTCAGGGCAGGCAGATGCTGGGTGCGGATGTGAGCTTAGTGTTGGGATACAGGTGGGACCAGGGTAAGAACTAGTTTAGGAAAGAAACCGGCGGAGACTGTGGTGATACATTTTAAACGAGAGTGAGTGACAGCCCCTCTAGGATGCGAGGGGTTAAACAGGCGGCTGGTACAGCCTCCCCGGAGCCAAAGGGGGAACTCAGGAGTAAGTCATGACTGCCTAATTAATTCAATTAAACTACTTCATAAGCTCCACTGGTGTCAGTAAATTATTAAAGTCGATTAAAAAATCAGTGGGACGTGATGAGGGTTTGGGGATGCTGTAGCTTCCTTCCTGCTGTGGGTGCGGACGCCCTGTCTGGTACCCCTGCCAACCTACTGTGTGTGCTGAGGCCGGTCCCACCCCCCTGAGCTTTGGTTTCCTATCTGCACAGTTGAGTGATGGACTGGCTGTTGAACCCCCTGTCGGCACCAGAGTTATGAGGATTTTCCAGTCCCTTTGGTCAGAGGCAGCTGTTGCTACAGATGCGCTGCCCCATCTCTGCCCTTCCTTCTCATCAGGCTCATCTGGGCAGTTTCTAGGGGAGGCTGTGGGGACAGTGACCCAAAGGGGAGGTGCAGGCTCTGGAGAGAGAGTGAGAGAGTGGACTTCACCTAACCCCTAACCCTTGTGCCAGTCAGGGGCTGCTCGCAGGTTCTCATTCAGCACCCCCTCCGCAGGCTCTTACAGGTGAGGAAATGGAGGCTCACAGGACTCCGAGCGACCTACCCACGAGTACCTGGTGGAGTTGAGATTTGAATTCAGGGCTGCCGTGCCTCAAAGTCCCCGTGGCTGACTGCTTTCCTCTGCAGACGAATTTAAAATACAGCTGCATCCCCTGGCCAAACCCTACAACGTGCAACATTGCATTCACGGGAAAGAAAACACCGAAATGTTCTTTTTCTCTAGTTAGTATCCAGATGTGAGGAACCGAGGAGAGGGAGTGACATCCCAGTCCCTAGAGGTATGTAAGTCATGGTTGGCTGACGGCTCAGATAGACCTCTTAGAAACAAGATCCTGCAGCTCTGGTCCTACCTGTTGGTTGATACTTTTTCGGCAATTTGTGCTATGAGCAGGCTGGGAATTCAGCAAGAATTGCTCCCTGGTGCATGGGCTCTGGGGTTACTGTCTTGTCTTCTGTCAGATCAGATCTTGTTCAGCCAAACCAGTAGGCTAGGCAGTGCTGGTCTTGAGGGTGGCTGTGGTCCTGGGTTCGAGGGAAGCCTCTGTCTTAAATTAACCTTGTGGATCTTTGGCAAGTCCCTTCCTCTCCGAATCCTAGAAGTTTAGGTTTGTTCCCCTAACATCTCTGAAAGGCGACTCAGGCAGTATGCTGCATGGGTGGCCCATAGGGAGAGGAGGAATAAGGAGGAGGATGAGTTCAGGGCCAGATACACTTGCGAATGGAGCATATGCAATCTTAGAGATACAAAGCAACCATTGGACCTTTAAAGTCTCTGAAAAGTCCTGCAGTAAAGAAAGGAGATTAATTTTGTTTACCCAGCCTCCCTCAACCAGGCCACTCTTTCCCTCTCCAAGCACACCTTTTGTTTAATGACCTGAATAGACATGAAGACTTAAATACTACCCTAGAGAGAGTGGCTTTTTTTTTTTTTTTTTTTTGTGGTACGTGGGCCTCTCACTGTTGTGGCCTCTCCCATCGTGGAGCACAGGCTCCGGACGCGCAGGCTCAGCGGCCATGGCTCACGGGCCCAGCCGCTCCGCGGCACGTGGGATCTTCCCAGACCGGGGCACGAACCCGCGTCCCCTGCATCGGCAGGCGGACTGTCAACCACTGCGCCACCAGGGAAGCCCGAGAGTGGCTTTTTGAGGTGGTTCTTTTTGTCATGAGAACATCCTTTCTGAAAATTGGATAAACCAGCCTTTAGCAAGGTGGTGACTAACTCCCTTCAGTTGGGTTTTCTTAAACTGAAGTCCATGTTTATTCTAGGATCCCAGAGTCCTGCCAGGTTCCAGGAGCTTCTCTTATTTCCTAGAGCCCTCGAGTAGCCAGGCCCTCAAGATCTGGAATATACTCTATTCAGGGTTCCCTTTGTGAGCATTAGCTATAGAATTTGGTGTTTCGGGGAAACCCTCCTTCCCACTTCACACCACAAGGCAGAGGAACCCATTGGTGGGGCTTGGAAGTTGCCTATATGTGTACCACGAAGTCCCAGTAATCCAGAGCTGCCTGTTTAAGAATTCGTGAACTGCAGCTGAACTTCCCCAAAGAAGGCTTGCTAAGGAAAATGCTAGTGTAAACAAGATCTTCAGGGGAAGAACTGTTAAGGTGTGTAAGGAATCAGCCTATTTTTAAGCCTTTTGAAAGCTCCCGTTGGAACATAAACACTATGCTAATTATAAAAACACCTTTTCTGTTCAAAACTGCGGTAAACAAGATGGGAGTTGGGTGGAGGAGGGAAGGAGTATTTGAACAGAGGTTAAACCAGAGATTAAACACTGTCTGCCCATACTAGTAGATTTAGTTGCTCATCTTTAAAAATTCAGGTTTCCCACTTGTTTTGACAACCTGGATGCCCAGGCAGCAGTGGACAGGAGCTCCTGCTGGCCAGCGGTCAACAGGAACAGATGGGAGTGGCTTCCTTACCTTCCCAGCTCTGGACCCCAGCCTGGCTTACTTGTGGGAATGACCTGCACTGCCCTGACCCCCTTGAAATTTACACCCCTGCCTTTCTAACAATTCTCCCCAGTATTTTAAGAGCATAATTAGCATATAATTGCTGATTTCCTCTCCACTAACAGTACAGGAAGTCCTCTGCCTTGTTCAGCAAAACTTTCAAAGATAAACAGTGTCAAGAACAACCAAGCATTTTTTATTGAGCATCTACTAGGCATCAGGCTCTGTGCAGGGTGCTGGAATTCAGGGTTGAGAAAAATCTCCCTGCCTCTCCAGAGCCTGCTGGCTATGGCAGAGTTCATTGGAGCTGCTGTGCGGCTGCCAGCCAGGTGTCACCCAGAGCTTGTGTCCTGTGTGCCCTGAATTGGGGCAGAGGATTCTCAAACGGTGGAAAAGGTCCTTGCCCTTGCCCTGCCTTTGTAGAGAGATGAGATGAAGGGTGATGTGAACTCCTGAGAAGTTAGGCTGTGGGCTCCCTTTGAGCTTCGGGGATGTGAGGTGTGTTGGGGGGAGGGGAGGGGGGCTGGTTGGCAGGGGGTCATGGACACCTACCGGAGGAGGTGTGTGACCTTGTGGTGTGGTTAACGTTGAGATGGGCAGAGGGGAAAGGAGAGACCATCCCAGGCTCTAATGAAGAGGTGGAAAGATGATAATTAGCAGAGGCTTTATATGCAAATGGTATTTGAAAATGCTTAAAAATATCTTTTGAGGGAGACTGAAAATAGCAGGTGGTCTGCTTGAACAGAGAGTGTTTGGGTAGTGATAAGGGTGTGGGGTTGGAGGGGGAGGAAGAGAAAGAGAGAGGTAGATGGACAGATAGATACCAGCTATCTGCTGGAGGCCCCTGAAAACCAGCTGAAGAATTTTGCTAGCTAAGGAAATATATATAACCAGCCTTAAGGCCCATGAGGGCACAGTCTATGTCTGCCTTATTCATCACTGTGTCCTCAGTTGCCAGCAAGGACCTGGCATAGTAAATGCTTACTAAATGTTAGGTGAGTGAGTGAATGAAGGTACCTGGTCGGTATTTATCACATTTATCTTTACGGCAACCCTATGAAAAGATATTATCATCCCCTTGAACCAGTGAAGATGGACCATTCTCAGGGTGTGTGTGTGTGTGTGTGTGTGTGCGCGCGCGCGCGCGTGCGCACGTGTGTGTGTGTGTGTGTGTGTGTGTGTGTATTATGGTGTTGGGGGGAAGCACCAGGACACCAGAAAGATTTTTTTGTTGTTGCAGCACCGTGAGATGTTGATCCATTTGATTCCATTGTATGACCGAAGGACAGTTTTACTAGCGGAAAACATGACCACGTTATATGGCTGCAATCAAAAAATCACAGCCATGAGCGCAGGCCCAGAAAACGAAGCAAGCTGACAGTGTAGGCGGAACTCGTTGACTCCGTGTCTTTCTGCCAGTGTTAGTTTGCTGTTTGTTTCTTCATGGTGCCAGTGATGAGCTCCGTTGCAGATAGGAGGTAACAGGTCCCAGTAGAAAATTTATAGAAGAAAAAATGAACACCGAATTCAGTTTGCAGTTCTCCTGCAATTAAGAAATGCCCAGTGTTGTTTAGTTGTAGATGTAAAGGGTACCAGTCTAGCCTGAAAACTGTCCCATGGGAAGGTTTTGATGCAGGGACATGATTTGATGAGCAGGTGTCATGACATCTCAGCAGAAATGCACTTAACTTGAGAATACGAGTTGTGCAGGTGGCTGGTGTCCCAGGGTCAGATAACTAGGTGTTGAGAACTGCTGTTCTCTTAGTCCCTCTCAGAGTGAGAGTATCTTGCCCCGCTGACTGTGATTGTTGTGTTGCAAGATGTGTGTCATACAACATGGTCCTTTAATGCAAGCCAACATCTTCATCTGGTGCTCAACCAGAAAAGCGTTGCTCTTTTCCAACTCTGGAGGGCAAATTGGCCATTGGATTTCTGGAAAAATGGGAAAACAGTCTTCAGTGTGATGCCTTCCTGAGGAGTAGTTGATTGGAAGTTTAAACGGTAAGATTCCAGGTTTATGTACTGGCTTTAAGACTTAACCTTGCCCTGCCTGTAGGTTGCTGATCCGGCAGCTTGTTCAGGAGGGACTGGGACGTGTGGAGAGGGTGGAATGGAGTGGCCAGTTCCCCTGGAAGCAGGGATGGAGCTGAGAGATTGCCCTGGCTCACTCGGCCGTGTTTTTCCTCTCACACTAGGCACTGCAACCACAGGGCCTTTGCACTTGCTGTTCCTCTGCGCAGAATGCATTCTCCAGTTACTTTCTTGGCTCATTCTCTCATTTTGATATAATTCTTCTCAGCAAGCCTTCTCTGACCGTGATATTTAAAGTTATACCCTCCTGCCATCCATCCTCCTTTTATGCTCCATTTTTCTCCATAGTATTGATATTATTACCATCGAACAGTATATATTTTACCTCTAGAAAGAAGTCATACTTCCTGTCTCCCTCCTTCTCTTTCCCAAGAATGTAAACTTTATGAGGGCAGGGCTTAAAAAACCCTTCTCATTTTGAAAGCATTTTAGACATAAAATTATGCAAAATAATGCAGAGAGTTTCCATGTGTCCTTTAGCCAGCTTCCTCAAATGTTAGCACCTTATATAACCATAGTATAATGCTCCAGTTATATTATGAAATTCATATTAGCACAGGAAGGTAATAGTAATCCAGTCCTATGAACTAACTAACCCACAGACCTTATTCAGATTTCACCAGTGGTCCCACTAATGGTCCAGGATCCAATCCAGGATCCCCCGTTGCATTTAGTTGTCACGTCTCCTCAATTTTCACCAGTCTGGGACAGGTCGTTGGCCTTGCTTTGAATTCTATGCCCTTGACCCCTTTAAAGAGTCCTGACTAGTTATTTTGTGGAATGCTCCTCGTAGGTTTGCCAGATGTTTGCTAGATCGCTGATTCAGGTTATGTGTTTCTGGCAGTAGTATGCCCAGAAGGAGTGGTGCCCCCTCCTCAGTGCATCACAGCAGGAGGTGCAGGATGTTGATATGATTTATCACTGGGGATGTGAACTTTGAACACGTGGTTCCAGTTAGGTGGTGTCTGCCTGGTTTCCCAAGTTACTCTCTTACCTATTGTATTAATAAGTATCTTATGGGAGGTACTTTGCGCCTATGCAAATATCTTGATTCTCATCATACTTTTCGCCTGCGAATTTTAGCATCCTTTGGTGATTCCTGCCTGCAACCGTTATTGCTGTGGGGTTTGCCAAATAGTGATTTCCTATTTCTGTCATTCCTTCTGCTTTTGTTAATTGGAATTCTGCTGTAGAAAGAGCTCTCCTTTCTCCCCCATTTATTCACTTATTTATT